TAAGCACTGGTCCAGGGCACCTTTCATACCTGCTACTTTGGTTCGGACCAAACTGAAGAGTCTGAACGTGACCAAACAAGGTAGGTATGAAAGCACCCTTAGATTGTGCACTAAAATGTGCAGAAGACTGCCATCATCAGGTTTGTAGAGGATGTGTTATTACGTATTACGTAACGTAATTTCCCTTAGAAAATCAACAAAACATGTCAACTGACTGTGGGTATTCAAACTATTGCCTACTGAACCCAAAACTAACTAACAGATTGTAGAGAGAAGTGCTTATCATTTTTTCAACTTCATTTTGATACAAACTACACGCCATTCTTTCCACCAAAAAATAAGCATTTTGAAAAATGTATTTGAAACCTGTATTTAGAAACACGTTCTTGTCTGATTGCAGCTTCTCACCCCAAGCTGTGCTCAGGTTTCTGCGCTGAGTGCAGGGCTGTATTAATGATGTTGAACAAGTAAAGTGCTGACCCGGTTTTTGGCAGCTGCCTCCAGCAGGAGTCGACTAGCCTTGGCACGAGCGAGCGGCAAGCTCAGCATGGGCTGAGGGCTGTGGGTACAAAGTGGGAGCAGAGTGGGCACAATGTGGGCATGGATTGAGAGCAGGATGGGCACAAAGTGAGAAGAGAGAGGGCACAGATTGGGGAAAAAGTAGGTGCAGCGTGGGCACTGAGTGGGCTTAAAGTGGGCACAGCTTGAGCGCAAAGTGCGCACAAAGAGGGTGCCGAGTTGGCCTACAGTGGGTGCAGAGTGAGCACAAAGAAGGCACTGAATGAATACAGAATGGGAGCAGAGTGGGCACTGAATGAGCACAGAATCTGCACAAAGTGGGCTTAGAAGAGGGACGGAATGGGCACCAGGCAGGCACAGAGCAGGGACAGACAGAGTGGGCACAAATTGGAGACATAGTGGGTGTAGACTGGGCACCAAGCAGTCACATAGTGAGCACAGAGGGCAGAGAGCAGGGCACAAATTGGGGATAGAACTTGGAAAAAGCCGGCACAGAATTGGCACAAAGTGGGTGCAGAGTGAGCATGTAGTGGGTGCATAGTGGGCACAGAATTGGTGCATAGTGGGCATAATAAGGAACAGAGTGGGCACAGAGAGCTGATGGTGCTTCAGGCTGGTGTGAGATTCTGCAGAGCCTGAACGAACCCTGCACTAGACAGTCGACAGCGAACTGGATGTTCTGTTGTTTTCAGTGGAACAGTGGTGGAACATTCTACCACAGCCAGCAGCTCATGACAGCGGTCAGAGGAACGTTTTATGAGTGTCACGAGCGCCAAACATCTTGTTGTTTAAGTCCAGGTGAACTCAGTGTTATACAACAGCAACAGCAACAAAAGAAGTTCAGAATTTTGCATTTTCCTCTCTCTGCTTTCTCTCCTGCTGCTGCTCTACTTCTGTTTCTCTCCTCCTTTTTTCCCCACTCTAAACTCCACAGGTGTTTTTCCATCTCTGTCCATCCCTCCATTTCTGGCTCTTTATATTTCTTACTTTTTTATTCTCTCCATCCATCTCATCTCCCTCTTCTCGCTTCATTCTTTCCATCAAATAAATTAGTTTTTTCTATTCATTCTTTGCTCCTACACTCTCACCCCTACTCTGCTTCCAGATGTTCATGTATTGTGTTACACTCTCTCTCTCTCTCTCTCTCTCTCTCTCTCTCTCTCTCTCTCTCTCTCTCTCTCTCTCCACAGAGCATTCTCCTGCCTTCATTCCACCCTAATTAAACAATCAACACTGTTAAAGCTCTCCTCAGATAATTACCCAGTTCTGCTAGTGATGCTGTCACCATTGGCAACGTTTGTGCAGCTGCATGCTGCTGTCAGTCACGTACCAACACATACACTAAAACCTTCAACTCATATTAATGTTTCTGTTATCTACAATTTAGGAATTTAGCTTTTATCAGATCCATCCTGTCGCTTTTTCTCCACTTAGCAGGTCCCTGTCTCTCTTTTTCACTCTCTGTCTCTCTTTCTTGCTGTCTGTCTCTGTCTATCTTACTGTCTCTCTTGGTCTCTCTCTCTTGCTCTCTATCTCTGCCTGCCCCCCCCCCTCTATCTCCCTCTCCCTCTCTCTCACTGTTTCTATAAGTATCTTTCCATCTCTGCTCATCCCTCTTCATATTTCTGCATGGTTTTTATTTTTTCACATTAATGAAAGTGTGAACACTTCATATTATCAAGTGTTCATTCTCTCTCTCTCTCTCTCTCTCTCTCTCTCTCTCTCTCTGTCATCTCTTTCCTTGTTTTGCATCTTTCTCTCTCTGCTCTCTTTCCTGCTGCCCTACTTCTCTTCCTCTCCTCCTTTCTTCCGCATTCTAAACTCCACATGTTTTTCCATCTCTGTCCATCCCTCGTCATATTTCTGGCTTGTTTTATTTTTTCTTTTTCGTTTTTTTCCATTCATCTAGTCTCTCGCTCTTCTCTCTTCATTCTTTCCATCAAATTTGTTTTTTTTTCTGTTCATTCCTTGCTTCTGCACTCTCACCCCTACCCTGCTTCCAGGTGTTCATGTATAATGCTAATCAATCTCTCTCTGTCTCTCTCGCTCTCTATTTCTCTCTCTCTCTCTCTCTCTCTCTCTCTCTCTCTGTCTCCCTGATCATCCTCCAGCTCTTTATTTTAAAGAGCCCATATGTTAAAAGGAATTTAGCCTGTTTAAATTAAAATAATTGATGAGTTGTTATTAAAAAAATGTTCTAATAAAGTTTAAAATATGCCGCTGTTAACGTTTTTTCACTCCGCCCATTAAAGACAACAGACTGTACGGAGAAGTTCCTGCGTACAGTCTGTAGCACAGTTATGTCAGGGAGTCAGCCAATCAGAACAGAGATCATTTACAAATATCAGCCTTGAAGGCACAGTAACAAAAGCAGCCTGTTTAATTCTAAGGAAAAAGAATCGACTGTAAAACGTTGTGTAAAACTGAATTATGGTACATAAAGGTACAAACAGCTGCCTCAAACTGTGCAGAGTTGTTAAGCAATCTCAAATAGACTTTCTGATCCCATAGCATCGTCAGCAAAATTTGCTCTCCTGTCAGTGTCGGTTCCTGAACAACCTGAACAACCTGAGAGTTTTTAAGGAAGTTCTGAGGTCGTGTTACCTGACGCTGAGACTTTGCTTTAAAAACGACATTTATTTTATTTTCCCCCGTCGGTAGGATCTGTCACTGTTCTCACTCGTCTTTCTGTCTTTCTGCTGTTCTCTGCACTTTCACAGGTGTGAGAGAGAGTGTGTGAAGTGTCTCAGGAAAGTTCTCCTTCATCGCAGAGTTTATTCTCATCTTCAGTTCTTTAAGTTCTTCTCCTATAGAAACACACAGTCAGCACAATGTGCCGCTAGAAACGAAACTTTCTGGTTCAAACGCTTTTGAAACACAAACGCACACGCAAATGTATATTAATATATATGCATTCACTCAGCGGACACTTTATCAGAAACACTTCTCCTCTAGCTCCACCTTGCTGGAGTACAGTCAAAGACTGTAGATCGTCTGTTGATGTACAGATAGTGTTAGCTGCCCTCTAGCCCAGCGGTGCACGAGTTTTTGCACGTGGATGTCTCAGTGCCCACAAAATATGGTCAAAAATGGGCCTAATTTTAATTTAAATGACATTTTAATAAGAATTATGGGACCAGAAACTTTGCTATGACAAGGTAACACACCAGTTTTGTAATGTGTTCTGGAGGGCTTTGAGGCCAAAGCTTTAGCATTAACTACAAAAGAGTAAACAAGTTAGCCTAGTTAGCTTTAGCAGCCTTAACCAAAAGTTGCTAGATAAAAGCAACAATGAAAAAGTTTTATTTTGCACTGCATAACTTTTCTCCATATCAGATAAATATAGTGAATGCTGTAGGCTTAAATCTGGTATAAACCAGTGTAGGAATTCAGTATGAAAAGGGCCAGTTTCCTAAAACTCGACAGTAACAGTGCTATGGCACAGTAAATAGGAGCTAAGCATGGATGTCTTTTCAATGCTGCACTGTTTTTTGACTAGGACACTGATGCCACATGCAAATAAGGGTCATACATATTAGAGACCCTCATCGAGTGAAGCTCCGCTTTGCTACCAAAATGGACACGATGAAAGAAAAAAAGCAAATAGAATCAAAATTCTCAGAAACAGAGATACAAATTTTAAGGGAAGAAGTGCTGACAAATATTAATAAATTGTTTACTAAAGATGTTGTTAACTTTTAATTAAGAAAAAAAAAGGTTCTTTATCATAATGTTACGTGACAGAACCAGCCAGACTTTCATGGTAAATAACTAAGGAGGTTCAGGTACAGTCATAGACAAAGAGACATAGGTACAGTCATGTGATCTCCTAGGGGATTCTGGGAAATGGAGACGGAGCCAGAAGGATGCATGACACAGAAAATATTGTTGATACTAGAAAAAAAAAGACAAAGATTTTAATTATAACATCTTAAAGTTCAACTTTTTATTGTAGGAATTCTGTTTTAACATTAAGACTTTGGAAAGAATTTAAACCCTTTTCCAATTTATTATAGTTGCAGTTACATTTTTTACCAACATGAATGAAAGTTTAACATGTTGTAATTTTTCCCCACACAACTTAAAATTAATTAGACATGCTGAAATTCTGATAATTACAGCATGAGGTTTTGGCTTTTATTGCCTGTTTTTCTTGATTTCAGGAATTCAGTTTACACATGTAAAAATTAATTTCACCTGTTTAGTATTTAGTCCTTGATATCAGGAAATTCATTTTGCACACATGAAATGTAAAATTTCACAAGTAAATATTTCATTACAACTAGTAAAAAATGTTTTTGCTTTTCAGAAATAAATTTTTATCAATAGCAAAATGTGATTTTCACGTGTAAATTGAATTCTTAAAACTGCTTACAATAAAATCAGTTTGAACTTGTAATTAGAATCTCAACGTGTCAAATTACTCTTCACTTATTTGTATTACAAGCTAAACCTACTTTCCATTCACAGGTGGGGAATTCGCCAAATATAGAATTTGATGCAGGAAGAAGAGGCAGTTCAGTGCTCAGTGCCAGGTAAATCTGCCAATATGAAATCCTGTTCAAGCAAGTCTTCCTTTTCACGTTCTCCTCCAACAGCAGTTAGAAAGTTCGCCAGGAAAATTACTGCCAGGCGTTAGTTTTCATGGAATTGTGTCATGTTATGAATTTCTACTGCCACATATACATGAGCTGAAAACACATCAACTTACCAGTAATTATTTATAATTGAGCAAAAGTGTTACCAACACTCTCTTTGCTCTTAACATCACAGTAAATCTGGTGTTTTATAAACTTGGCCCAGTGTGTCTCAATAATATGTTGGGCCTCCATGAGCTGCCAGAACAGCTTAGTGTAGCTTCTACCAGTCTGTGGAACAGTACTGATGGAACCCCGTTCTTCCAGAAGATATTCCTTCAGGTGGTGCTTTGATGAGAGTTGTGGAAGTGCGCTCTTAAGCCTTGGGTCACTACATGACTTTTAAAGTCTGAACAGATTATAAAATGACGGGGCATCTCACACCATCTGACTGGTTCTTGCAGATTTTTTGGGCAACTGAGATACTGGGGATCACACACTACTAACTCTTAAGCTGCTGCTGGACCAAACGGAACTCACTGAACTCACGTGCTCCCATTACTAGGAGACCCAAATAAACAAACGTGGAGCTGCCAGAGCCAGTTTATGAGGAGCCTGGTCACTTCCTATTTCCACTGTTATATCCAAAACATGATGCAAAATTGCAGAGGGTGTCCGCAAGCGAGTCCTCAATGAATGAGAGAGTAAATGTAGCTCAATGGCTAAAAATGAAAAGTTAGAATAGTTTCTAATCACTTGCCCAGGACTTTTCTTTCATTTTAGAAAGCAGAATGATGTATTTAAAAAAGCAAAGAAAACTTTGTTAGCACTACTGCTACTGAGTACTGATTGGTTGGCGAGCGGAGCAGCTCATCGGCTGTTTGTGCTCAGTGGCATCATGAACGTACATGAGGTGTCGTTTTAAACTCGAGTTCAAAAGCTCTTAAAAATATAACAGCAGTGTTAAAATGTTTTATGCTGTTCTGTGATCAGGATATTAATGTATTCTTTTACATTAAAAATGTTTAAGCATTTATAAACTATGATTTTACTCAAATGCTCCATCTTAACCCTTTCATTTTGGACTCGCTTGGGAGCGCCCTCTAGTGTTTCAGAAACCTGGAAGACATTACAGAGCGGTAATTCTCCTCTCTACAAGTTCTCCGGAGCGGCTCACTGCTGCTCCTGTTTTCTCTCACAGTAAATAAGCAGGAGGTAAACATCTTTAAGTGAGGGTCATGGATTTAATGTGATCAGTGTGGTATTTTTAGAGTTTTCAATATACATAAACTCAATTGTGCCTTAAACTCAGCTCATTAAAAAGCTTTGCTTCACACATGAGAGACTTTCCACGATTTTTCTTTGTTTACTTGCTGCATTTTCTTCTTTAGCACTCTCAGTTTTCATTGGCTGTTGCGGAAATTAGTTCAGATTCAGTCGTTGATCAGCTTGCACTACTAAATTACGCTCAGAGTCGGGTAAAAAAAATCATGTTTAATAAATTCCAACTGGTCTGAAATGTGATTGGGAGGCCAAAAATCTGAGTCTGTGCTCCTCACATACTACTCAATTCTCTCCCCACTGTCGACTCCGATAGACCCAAAAATCTGCAGACAAGAGCCAACTAGCTCTAGACTCTGCCAGACTGAGAAACAGGGCTAAAATCAGGGTAAAAGTAGTGGAGTGTAACCCCGGCTTTACACGTCTGTCCAAAACCTCCCATAGATGTTCACTTGAGTTTAGATCTGGTGACTGTGAAGGCCATAACATATGATTTCATTTTCATACTCACCAAACCGTTCAGTGCCTCCACTGTGCCCTGTGAATGAGGGCAGAGACCACTCCCATCAGAACAGCAAGGTTTCGTTATAGGATAAAGGTGATCAATCAGAACCACTTCGTATTGATTTGTTCCCTCTGAGATGAAAAATGGACTCAGATCATGCAAGCAAAATGCACTTGCACTCACCCACTTGTGGAGAATGTGCTGAAGGATGATTCATCTGACCAGCTCACTTCTTCTCCACATCTCTGTAGGGTAGTGCTGATGGGTTTTACTCCACTGACCTTTCGGTCGTTTGTAATGAGGGGTTTGCGCCCTGCAGCCCTACTATAATATCCCCCTCTGTGTAGTTATGGACGGACTGCTCTTGCTGACCGTCTGATCATGTCTTGTGCATTGATATTCTCAGTCTCAGTGCACTAATGCACGAACATCACGCTCACTGAATGTGCTTTTCGACCACAGTTTCCAGCCCTGTTTACTGATGTGTTTCTCGTAGATCTAAATACAGATGTCTCTTCAGTCGCTGTTCCAGTTGAAACACTAGCCAGCTGAGCAGTCTCTGTGACTGAAGTCCGGCCATCCGTGTCTCAATAATGAACCCTCTTTCAAAGTCACTCTGTCTCTCTTGCCATCTTGATCCAAAATCGAGGTCAGCTGGGCTGCCTGGCGTTTTTATAAGTGCCACAAAGCATGGAAGCATATTAGCTGCATCTCCACTCATTGATTCAGGTTTTTCCTTTGTTTTCTGTCTCTAGATTAAAAGCTATTAAAAACAATATCAATTAACTACACACTTAAAAATGCTCTTTAAGGGTTCTTTAGTAAAGAAAATAGTTTTATATAGAACTATGGACACTCAAAGGTGATTAAAGGGTTCTTTGCATCATTCTTTAAGCATTCTTCAGATTGATGGTTCTATATAGCACCAAAATGGGTTCTTTTATTGTTACGATGTCAAGCCTGTAACAATAGATAAACCCTTTTTGGGGCTATTTAGAACCCTTTTCAAAAAGGTTCCATATAGACTCATATAAAACACGTTCACCATCAATCTGAAGAACCACTTCGCCATGCAAAGAACCATTTAGTCATGCAAAGGGTTCTTTACGTGTTCATGGTTCTATATAGAACAATTTTCTTTACTAAAGAACATTTTTAAGTGTGTAGAAGGAAAAACCTTTTAAAAAAACTTTAAGGTGCCTTTACAAAGACAGCTAATAACGCTTGAAAAGCTACAGCAGTTGACTGTGATTTTCTTGGTACCTTAACCAGGTTTATATAGTAATTAGGGTAGTTGCTAAGGTGTTGCTAAGACGTTCGTATGTTATTCCAGGTAGTTACTATGGTATTGATATGCAGTTGCTATGGGCATTGCTAGGCAGCTGTTAGGTCATTGCTAAATTGGTGCTATAGTATTGGTTAGTGGTTGCTACAGCGACACTAAGCAGTTGCTAGGGCAGGAGTGGACAACATGCAACTCTTTTACTGCCCTGTTGTGTCTCCATAGCAGAATTATATTTGTAGGTAAAAATAAATAATCCTCCTTTAATCGCTGGAGTTAATGTATAACTGCTAATTCACGCTTTAGCTCTGAAGATTAGCACGCAGACTGCAGACTCACATAGCAATGCAGACAACAGTCTGGCCTAGCCAGTAGCTAACAAAAAAAAGAAAAAGAGAAAGAATTAAGACGACCATCGATAATTTGACTAAATTGAGACTAATGGACTTATTTGCATTTGTAATCACTCCAGCTGGTTTCCTGATACGTTTAATCTGCAGTGAGAAACTGTCAAACACTAAAAAGTCACAAGGCTGAAGTCAGATTCTCGTTCTTCAGCTTCAAACTTTTCTGTTCCACCTTGAATGGTGCAGCAGCTACATTCTAGTACCTTTTAAGGTGGAACGGGAAAATTCGAACAAGAAGCTGGCGAATGAGAAACTGACTTCAGCCTCGTTAAAAGCTGAACGTTGGAAGACATTTTACAAGAAACTGTTCTACTTTTGGAAAAGTTTCCTTCCGGAGATGTGAGAAACACAGTTATAGCTGAGCTAAAGCTTAAAGCAAGTCAGCGTTTTCATTTATATTATATTTTTTAGGCTATACTAGTACATTAGCACATACTGAGACATATTTACAGCCAAGATGGTAACATGGACATAAAATGTTGTGGCTCCAGAAGTGGTTTGATTTTTGTTGTAGAGACAAATGCCAACTTAATGATAAGAAAGCCTTTTCTCCACCAGGTGAGGACAAGGCTGTTGCTGTGCCTGCTGGAGAAATATTGTGCAGACGTCTGGCCTGTAATGTGGCAGGTGGACCTCATAAAGTGGCCAGTGAGTGTATTTCAAATAGAATATAATAGTAATCCAAATTAGATCCGATTATATTCTTTATGTAACCCCTCTGTATCACTCTGTGGCCACTTTTTGCGAGTAATGATTCTTCACAAGAGCTTCGAGTCCAGGCTTAGTGCCGAGTTTATTAGCTGACAAACATAAGAGCAAAACGGGGTCATAAAAAGGTACAGGCTACAGCTCTCAGCGCTATCTTGCCTTACACATAACACCAGTGACCAAAAAGAGAGTGATTGTATAGATTAGAAACCATAAGAACATGAAATTATATTACTTTGTTTTGATTTGATATGATTTATTATGCAGCTGACCAACAAGAACCCATTTTCATTTTATGCTACTATGGCAACAATAATAGACTGTTATATTCAGAAATAATGCTTACTGAAACAATAGAAATACATGGAGAAATATTAATAAAATCAAACTTTTCTACCTACCGTCTTGCCATGCACATTACACCAGTGACAGTGACCAGTATAGCAATGACATCATAGATAATTTGACCAGTGCAGCAGTTTAAGAAAGGTACTGTACTGGCTCCCGAGTGGCGCAACTATCTAGGCATTGGCCCTATCATCAGGAGATCGCGAGTTCGATCCCTGGTGATGCTACAGCCGTCCATGGCCGGGAGTCCAAGAGAGCACAACTGACTGGCCTCGCTCTCTCTGGGCGGGTAGGATGCTTCACTTAACACGATGCTAGTCAGCGCAGGCGTCTGTTAGCTGACGTAACAGATCTGGCGGTTGGCATTTTTCTTCCGAGCGCCTTCAACTGTCCAATGATGTTGCGTGAGCGGCAGTTCGAAAAGATG